GGGTTTCAAGGCATTAAAAGGAAACCCAAAAGACCCCAAAATTTCGTTTTAATCCGATTTCGTTTTAATCCGCCACAATAAATTAGTGACCATCTTTTAAAATGCTTTTTCTTTGCTTGATGTTATGCCTCTAATTAACATCATCCTCTTTCTTTTCTTTAATCCTTTACTTAGTATCTCAGTCTTCTCCCTTTTTTCTTTCTTGTTGTCATTATCTTTATCCTTCTTCACGTTTTGTCGTCTTTGTGATAATTCTGACGTGTCGTGCTGCATATTAGAGTCGTAGACATGCTCCTTCATTTACTTTAATCTCAGAGCATGTATTAGTAAGACGCGAATAAAATTGTGGATGGGTGGAAGTACAGCAAAAGATAACATGAAAGATGTAAACTCCAGCTACAGTAATAAATTGCGATAAGGAAGTGTCTTTAGCTACTTCATGTCCTCTTTCTTCTGGAAGACTAGTCAATTCTACCTCTGCCTGTCTCAGTAACGGTTGCGACATTCGAGATAAATTCAAATCATTGCTTTTATTATAACTTTGATTTTGTATGTCGTAAACTATTACAAAGACGCGTGTATGAGAAACAGAGCTTTCAATTGCACCTCAAATATATGAAGGTGCCGTATTTATACACACGGGTCATGGCCTAGTCAATAGCCCTCTTCACGTTCTTGTTTTAATTTTATATATAAGAGTGTGAATTGAGCACAGAAACTTGCGTTTATTGATGAATAAACACAGGGTTTATGTACCAATTTCCTTACGTTTAGAAAACGTGTTACTCTTAAAGAAATGTTTATTTCCGAAAAACAGTCCCACAAATAATGGATGATGATAATGTTGTTGAAGATAATACTGTTAACAAAAAATATATTCATTTAACATTCATGGCTTACCTTTCCGCCTGTGGTGTGTAGCTGGCTCTTATTGTTTAACGGTTATATGTGCGGGACTCGAGTTAGACTGTTTAATCTACCACATTCATTGCCGTGCCACAAAGCCGATTTCTCAGCCACACCGGCCATTATAGTTCACGTTTATTTTTGGTTGCAGTCCTCAATTCTCTGAAATAAAGACCTCAAAACTCCAATACACAGTTTTATAGCGTAGATGGAACATCACCGTCAAATTGACCCGTTTGCAGCACGTATGGCGTTTTTGGCCCTGCTGAAAAAGCTGAATGCCTCACAACTTTCAATACAAAAAGCTGTAAAGTTTGCGTTAAGACATAGACATCGATATGAAGACCTGTTTGCATGTATTATGGAGATTTTGATGGAGGTAGAATACATGACCGGTTTTGCAATGACATGGATTAATGGTCAATCTGCATGCTTACATGATCTTTGATTCTGATCAGTTGTCGGTGTACTCTCGCCTCAATATCTTATATCTTTTAGACTCTCTCTGTGAAAATGCGTTTCAAATGAACATGCAAGAGTATAAAGAGCTTATAGAGAAGAATTTGGTGAAGATAATACAAATGATTGCTCCAGAGAACAGTCAAGGTGAAATGAATTCTCACAGCGCGTATAAGGTACGAAAACGTGAGGAATCGTCTTGTGCAAGACACCCGTAAATACAGATGAATGTTCATTGTGAGTGATCATGTCTACAATAGACTGGGTATGGTCTGCTATACGAATTGCATATATTGAAAAGTTATCCATAATTACTTAGGTTTTAATGAGTTGGAAAAGCAAAGAAATTCTCGCTTTGCAGCCCATAGAAGACTCTTTACTCTGGTTGAAGAATCGCCAAATAGTGTAAGTCAGGCATAAAAACTCATCGATTGCAGTTCGCATCAACGTTAAGGTTGACGAGCATTTATAATAAAATAGGGACGAAGAAGAAGAATTGGAGGAATTGAGTCGTACTGACATGTTAAGACGGATCGAAGATGATAGGGAGAGGGTAAGGCACAACACGCTTTTGATTATTTCAATGCGCTTGCTTTGCGATGATATATATACCCTATTACATAATGGTTGTTACGTTTTTGCATTACTAAAGAGTAAACGGCATAGGGAAGACATGTGGGTGAGAATTGGCACTGATCAAGTTGAAAAAGAATTCGATGAGATGTGGGAGACGTGTTCGAATTTGGATGATAAGGATTATTTTGTGATGATCACGGAGAATATGAGGTATATGCCGAACTATCCCTGGACTGAAGAGTTATTAGAAATAAAAGCTTGGGAAGAAAAACAAAAAGTATGTTCATGATGCATATTGATAATCGGAATATTGATGATTCTCAAAATTTTGTCCCGTACTTGACACGTCAACATTTTATAACGATTGGCTCTACAAGACATATGAGCGAATGAAAAGTTTCCACAAAATCTTGAGAATCCGTGAATACTTTTTTAATGGTTGGCGGATAAAATGTGACTAACTCACTTCCTTTGCCACTGGGATTAATTGTTCATATAATAGCAACAGGATAACCAAATGTCACAGTACGGGACGCCTTCGGATAGCAATAAAAGTTAAGTTCTGCAAAAGGCAATCCATGAAATAATATAATTATGCCTAATGGGGCGTGTATCGCGGCCGACCGACTATATTTCTTCCAATATCATCTTACCTTCGGCGAGATTGGGATGACTGCATGTTCGATTGCGTCTCGTGATGTTCAAAACCAGAAAAGGCGTTTCATCGGACGGCTTTTTTTAGGAGGATATTTTCGGTTGTATTTTAAACTCTTCAGAATTAACGGGACAATGACATTATCCTAACATTTTTAGCTCGCTGAGAGAATTATGTGGATAATGCACAAATCATTTATGAACATTGGAAACGGTCACATACTTGGGGTGAGAGCAAAAGTAATTTATACAAAAGTCAAAGAATATTCAATACAGTTTATAATTGACTGAGAAAGTCGCATCTAAATTCTATCATATGAGATGATCCAGAATGGGGGGCAGCGGTTTCTTAGTTGAACACTTTTGCGTTAGAATTTGTCGTAAATTGTAGCTATTTTGGTCGCATTCTCCTAAATGCAGGAAATCGATTTCGTTTACAACGTGTGTGCACTACTTAAAAACGTCGTGTTATGTATGCGGACATCGTATCAGAAATGATGACTATGTAGCTTTTGTCTCCGACTTTGAATACGACAATTTAGAGTTCCGTTGCACAGTAGAATTAGACATTATTCTCAGAATACGGTTAGTGACACGATACGTATTGTAAAATCATTATGTGGGCATGCTGCAACAAAACAGTAAGCATGAAGACCTTTCCAGTTCCCAGACAAAGTGAACGTTCTGTTATGTGACATAAATGTGAGGCTGATGTGGCTGAAAGTTAACTAATTTGACTACAGAGAAAACCCTTCAAGTGCACACCATTGGGACCAGACCATCGTGTGCATTTAGAGGGTGTGCATTTAGAGGGAAATGGTAATTCGTGTAACACATTAATTATAATAGTAATAGGGACGATATTAATATTAATATTAATATACGTATTTATTTATTATTGATTAAAATATTGATTTATGGTTGTCTGTCTCATTTGACTACTTCTCTTACTATTAACAAATCTTTCAAGACTATTTAATAATCTTATCTGCTCACTTGTATC